CTGACGTTCTGCCTCTGCTGCCTCCTGCTGAGCCTTGGCGGCAGCTACGGCATCTGTAAATACCTGTAGCCGCCCAAAATAGTCAGCCAACGGCTCACTGCCCTTCGGACCGAGCATGCGGGAAGAACTCCGGTGGTGTCCGGTACCGTCAATGTTGTACTCGATGCCGCTGAGCCTTGGTTCGTGGAGTCGTCCGCCTGCTGAGTCTCTTTTGCTGAGCCTTGGTTCGTGGAGGTACTGTAGGTCGAGCACGAACTGCGAGCCTGGCACTGCGCCGTGGCAGTGCCCCGGTATCCTGTTCCATCGACATCAGTGTGGACTGATGCGGTACTTGAGAGGTCCCGGTGGTCACAGAATACGGGGAGGGTAGGGAGAGTGGGAACAGGGGTAGAACAATCAAACCATACGCATACAGTCCCCTGTCCCACTGATGGACTGTAGACACCTAATCAAACAGAAAAATAAATTTCCGTAAACCATTCAAAAATTCGTAATAAGGAATTAATAACGATTTAATCAATAAAAKYAATTAATGATAAATAACGAAATACTCCTAATGATGATCAATAAAACAATGTTTGTAATAAAGATAACCCATAAACGAATTTGAAAGGTATTATGATTAGGTCTCTTTGAGATCACTTTGAGTCCGGGAGTTCACCGTTAATGAGTGAACTACCCGGAAGTTGCAGTTTGAGGGTCAGATACGGCTTAGTGCGCTCAAAAGAATTTTGGAAAGTTTCAGAAGAAAAAACGCTCGAATTTTCAAAAACGTGAATTTTTGGGAATCTCCACCGTCAAAATCCGATTTTTAAAAGCCTAAACCTGTTTTCGGAATTTCTCAAACAAGGGGAACGAAAAAAAAATTCGCGAAAATTTCGGTCCCAACCCTAATTTTCCGCGTTTCCGCGAAATTTGCGGATTTACAGGCCCAAAACGTTCGAATTTCCCCAAGTTGATCTAACCCAAAAGATTTTCGTAACCTTAATTCCAATACTGAAAGACAACGGAAATCCAAGAACGAAATATAGGATTTACAACAGAATGCCGAAAAACGGAATGCTGAATGGAAATCAGAAAAGCCGAATTTCAAACATGATACTGATTCAACCCTAATACGCGTAAAATCAGAAATCCGAATCAAACAGAATGTTGGATTAGTATCAATTTCTCGGATCCTAATTAAACAGCATACCGGTGTACAACAGAAATCCGAATAAAAGTCCGAATACTGA